GAACTACCGTAAGTCGAAACTGCAAAGAAAGTCAGTAAATTTACGGTAAGAAATGGTAAAGACCAACAGTTTTTGACCGTCGTATCCAAAAACATTGCATTACCGTAGAAATTACATGGAACTACCGTAAGTCGAAACTGCAAAGAAAGTCAGTAAATTTACGGTAAGAAACAGTAAAAGACCAACAGTTTTTGACCGTCGTATCCAAAAACATTGCATTACCGTAGAAATTACATGGAACTACCGTAAGTCAAAACTGCAAAGAAAGTCAGTAAATTTACGGTAAAAAACCGTAAAAGACCAACAGTTTTTGACCGTCATATCCAAAAACATTTCATTACCGTAGAAATTACATGGAACTACCGTAAGTTGAAACTGCAAAGAAAGTCAGTAAATTTACGGTAGAAAATTGTGAAATACCAACGGTTACTGACCGTAATATCCAAAACATTGTGTTACCGTAGAAAATTCATGGAATTACAGTAAGTCGACACTGCAAAAAAAAATCCGTAAATCTATGGTAAAATACCAACAGTTACTGACTGTAATATCCAAAGCATTATACTACCGTAGAAAATACATGGAATTATCATAACTCAATAAACATATATCCTAAGTAATTTTGACAGTCATGAATGTAGAAAATACAGAAATATATTGTAAAAATATAAGTAATTGTAAAGTTCATAGAAAAATATTGTAATATTGCCAGCAGTTAATTACCCTAAACTTAACAGTACTAATCAGCCAAAATTACAAATTTTGCTGATATTTATATCTACAATGTAAAACCGTAAACAAGACTGCAAAAGTCATTTTTACAAAGAACAGAATGCTGGTGTGATATTTTGGTTTCTTTTTTAATAATGCCTTTAATACACCAAACTGAAATCTCAACAGTAGACCAGGCATCGATCTAGCAACCCACCGATTGCAAAGCAAACTCCTACAGCCAACGCTACCATCTTTTATGAGAGTATTTGATTAAATGATGCATTTGAGATTAATTCTATGCCAACCATAGACTTCTTGTACATTAAGAGAACTGTATGTTAGCCCCTCTTGCTTGATTGAAGCTGAAGTTGGTTTCCAATTGCTGCTTCCAATTTGGGAAATGGCTAAAGTGCAATTCCACCTAATTTTTTTACTACCATCAGCATCTTTAATTTACTTTAGCTAAAAAACTACAACACCTAGACTCTTCAAATCTGGACTAGATTATCCTCAACTCATATCAGAATATTTAAAAACAAGTGTGGGATTTGTGAAACCTTTATCTGATTTGTTAAACTTCAGTAAAGAACAATTCTAGTGTTATCCAAAAGCATAAAAATTGTGAAGTCGCCCTTCATTGAAGTTTCACAAATCCCACACTTGGTTTTAAATATTGTGCTAATAGTAGAGAATAGTCTAGAGAGTTTTTCATTTTGTTATTGTGATAAATAGCAGGGTTTACAGTAAATGGAGACTGTTATTTGTCATGTAAACAAATAATTATCTAGTTTGTATTGCTGCTTGATCCTTCAGCATCAGCAGCAAGATTCTTTTAACTCTGTTCCTGTAGTTGAGCGCGGCTCAGGATACTGTGGTGTCCTGAACTCAACACAGTAAAGTCACAGTGCGCTAGCTAAGGCTGCTAACTAGCAGGTGCTAGCTCAGGGTGCTGAGAGCCCAGTAGGCCTGGTCCTTGTCAGGATGCGGCTCCTGTCTTTGAAATCAAGTTTCTGCTATTTTTGCGCGTTCAGGAGGAGAAGGAGAAGGAAACACATCTCTGCATCACAGGTGAGCCCCTTTCACGGTTTTAACTGAAGTTAGCTAACTTTAACCAACTGATAAAGAAATGTGTAATTTCTGAGCCATGCTGTTTATGTACATGCACTGCAGCTAGATATTTTTACTATATGGAACATTTAATTTTCCAAGACGCAACACTTCCATTAATGTTTCTGTAAGAACGACTGCATAGATTATATTTCTGGTCTACTTTAGACTGCATGTGCTTAAAGTTATTGTTAATGGCAGAAGCAACTTTTTCAAGTTTGGTTCAGTAATTAATTTGAATTACTTTGAGTGTGAAATGTTCATGCATGCAAGTTAAATCTGTGAAGAACACCTTAGCTTTTGTTTCAATACTTTGGTAATACTTGGAAGTATAAAGCTTGGCATCAGAGCTAATATTTAATATTTTCCTTTGACCTCTTGACTCTCACCCCCAAAATACTTGCACTAAAGTCACTGGGTCCATGACAGTTGAAGGGTTTTAAGATAAGAGCATTTAAATATTAATATTTGACAAGTGCATTTCTGAGAACAGAATTGAAATTCTTAAAACTACCTGTTCAATCTTCAAATTACTGTGTCACTTCTGCACATCAAAAAATGAGTTTCTCATTTCTTTTGTAAGTTTTGCTTTTGTACATCATGTAACTGATTATGTACACTTGTCTGCTTTTCCCCCATTGTAATTTGCTTTTATCGTGTTGATCAAAATATGTTAAACGTGTCTGTGTTGAATTCTCAACTTCCAAAACACCATAAGTTCATTGTGTAAGTCATAACATACATAAGTCTTAAAGTTGTCATAATGTCAATCATATTTTAATTAATTTATAATTGATTCTTTTCTAAATCTGTCCTGAATTGGTAAATTGCTCCCAAGTGAGTCCTGAGTTTCTCTAACAGGTCAATGTATGAACCATTAGCTCAACCAACGATCAACCAGTTTTCTGAAAACAGATTGAATGTTACATTTCTGAGAACTGATGAACAAGTATCTGGACCAAGTGAACAGCCAGAGAGAAGAAGAGGAGTGAGGCTGAGGAGGAAATAGTTGGGAGGAAAGCAGAAGAAGAGTCAGAAGTGGCTGATGACTTCTGCCAGTTTCCATCAGTCCAACATCAGGACATGGCTGAGACCCACAACATGATGCTGATGGAGGTCCTCCCATGATGATGGCAATTAAAATGTAATGTAATTATGTAATTTCTACAGTTTTCCATGAGGAGATTGTCCTGTGGTTCCTTTTCTACTTTTTTTTGTTCTCTGCATTTCTGTCTTTTTCTTTCTGAATCACCATGGCATGGTCCATCAAAAAATTACAGCAAAAGCGTAAATGTGAATTTTGTAGCCTCTTCCCATGACTAATCAATTTGACCATCTCATCTGTACATAGAGAAACTATAACTTATTATTTTGAGTCACTGATATGTTAACTGACATAATTTTGAGAGCTGAACTAAGGATTTTTCAAGCAAACAAATGCTATT